GATTTCCCTAAGGCAAGAATTTCCACCACAGGGTTTTGATATGATTTGGTAACAGATTTGAGTATTTAATTTATGTATTGCATTAAGATATTTTGTGTTAGATAAATACGTTGTTGCTGTAAAGCTCTGTTTAAAGTAATAGTTGTGTGTCTTTGTTTTTACTTTTGGTCTTTTAGTTTCCAGCGTGTTGTCCTTTTTGGTTTTGTTTTATTGCTTTTTCTTTAATTTTGCTTACCAGAGCCAAAGCCTTAGTAGAAGAACAACGCCTTTTGTTCCTAGGGTTCAGGTAAAGACTTCGTCTGCCTGACAGAAACTAAAGTTGTGGGTTTTTCTTTTGTTTGTAATGGAAAATGCATAGTAGGAAAACGTTACATTATAGTCCGTTTTCCCATATTTTGAGTGCGTTGCTTTAAACCATATTAACAACTTTCATGTCATCTTGTGAGCAGCTTGTAAAATTCTGCATGGGGTTTAAAATATTAAATTGAAATTTAAAGAGACAACTAGTTTTTGTTTGCTGTCTGCCTGATATTAAACTCATACAGGTTTCAGTAGTGATGATGGCTGTGCATCCCTCATACAAAACGTGTGTACTGTTCAAGAAGTAAATAAATCTGTGCTTGAGGTCATTATATAAAGATGAATGTCTCTTTAAATCATTCATTATCATTACTTAACACATACTTTTTTGCATTTTCCACGTAATAGTAGCGCCTTGAGTAGAAGACAGGCAAACAATTTGTACCTTGTTCAAAGAAACAAATTTCTTGTGTATGAAACTTGGATCTTGCATTTTAAAGTACATCAAAGTAACCAAACTCAACTTGAACAAAAAAATAATTCTTCCATCGTGTTACTGAATTTATTTAGCTTTGATATTCTATTTAGGTACAAGTTATTTGCCTTTTTTTTCATTAGGAAGCTCCTAAGGTACTATAGATTAATGCAAAAGTAGGTTTTACTAATATGTTACAATGCTTATCTTGCTTTGCTGCATGTTTTTCCGGTTTTTGTATATAGAATATTATCTGCTTTTCTGAAAAGTATCTTTATGGAGATGTAAAGCATTTATGTAGGAGCTGTATAAATGTTTGTCCTGTTTGATCAGTTGCTCAAGAAGAGATGTAAAGGATGATCTAAATGACCAGAATGAGCTGAATAAAATTCATATTGGAATAGCAGGGAAATCATATATAGATATATAGATATAAACGAATTTTATATAAGACTGTAAATAAGACATATTTGATAAAGTAAAATTTTTTCATAACATATTATTTACCAGAAGTAGTCTTTACAAATGCTTAAATATAACTTTATAATTAAAAATCTAAGGAAAAAAAGATTTAAAAAGTGTCATCTTGATAGTATTGTTCAAGGTTAATATATTATTATGTGCTATTGATATAAAGTGGCTTTTTATGAAAAATTTAAGGCATCCTTTAGCATGATTGCGAAAGTTAGATTCTGCTCATGATAACGAAATCAGAAGGGTACAATCACAAGTTGTTAAATAGTTCATAGAAGTAAATATTGTATATGACACAAGTAGTCTTGTAGTATCTCTTTTCCTTTTAGATATATGCTAAATAAATTAAGAAATGATATGACAGTTGATTGTTGAATTTAAAAAGGAAATATGTGCCTGAAACCTGCATGTTCCATGAAATACTGTAATGTAGAAATAACATGTAGTAGTTCCTTATTTTAATTACATTATATAAAATAAAGAAATAGACATAAAAATCGTCCATTCTACTTAGACTAAGATCCTCTAATGAAAAAGAAATTACCTTGCTCAAAAGGTTATGGTAGTCCTATGAGAAAATAAAAGAAGCGTGATGTTTGATAGAGAATATTCAGCGAGAGGTGACAGTGTATGAGGCATATTTTTTCACCTCTGGCTGGATAATTTTTGCTATTGTAGATATGAATTGTCTTTGGCCCCAGTTTTGTTTCTACACAATGCTTGTGGAGTCCTTGTGGACTTCCCTAACAGTTTCTCAGGGTTTTTTTGCAGAGCTTGGTAACAGTCTAAGCTAAATATAATGCTTGTGACAAGCGTTCCTGTAGAACTCAAACTTATGACCTTAGCAATGTCTTTATAACTAGACTGAAACAAAAAGTCATCCATCTGCCCACTTTTACTAGGGGTGGTAGATAGTTGAAAATGGATTAATGTAAGATATATTTACCATGCAGGCTGCAGAGAAGAAGAGGAATTCTCCAGTGGTCTTTAAACAAGGATATTAGAAGCAGTCCAACAGCAGTGCAGAACTCTGGTTACTTTTTGGCATGACAAATTCACTAACTCAGAGCTCTGAGCTGCTGTTTACGGTTGTCAGGAAGTATACATTTCATTGTGGGTTGTGATATAGCTGTGTCTGTAGAAGTCTTTACAAAACTGAGAATCTCCACACATTCTGTTTATACCTATTTATTTCATCGCTTTGAACAGGAAATGCTCATCTTTATTCTTGCTTGCGTCCTCTTTACTTGTTAGTCTGAAACCAATCCTTTCTGGCAAAAGTTCCTCTTCCATACTTCTCTCCATGTCATTCCATTCATTTTCTAGATCTTATATCGTTGGATGATTTCATAGAAACATCGTTATTTTATTGTGAAGGAAAACACTCAATTCCTTTTTATTCCTATCATACACCCTTCTGAGCTATTACTAATTTTGCATACTTTGAAAAGTGCGTATTTATTTCCTGAACTTTTAGATCCAGTTTAGCTTACAAGCAGTTTTCTAACTTGCAGAATGATGCTTCATGATATCTTTGTAGGGAACAATCTGTTCTTAAATTTATGTTTTCCTTACAATATCTCATTTACCTGGTGGAGCCTCCTTTTGATCTAGAGTTGCCATGAAACTACTGGGTTTTTTCTAACTTCAAAAATTTCAGGCATCCTTTTTGCTTCAATACAGAACATCAGTATATTTGATCCTGTATAAAAATATATGCAAGATTAAGCCACTAAAAAATAAATTTTAAAAAGAAATCTAGATTAGGGCAGCCTAAATACTTCCATAATTTTCTGGCCTTTATATCCGTCATGCTTTTCCATTTGACAGCCTTTTCTTGTACTTCTTCCAGCACATCAAAAAGCAGCTGAAGCAGACAGCAATAATAGCTTGATTTAGCAACCCTCAGTAGTCAGGATTTATTAGAGGTATGTTTAACAACATCCAGAGCTTGCCTTAGCTATGCCGAAGACTTTACAACCTCAGGGCAGTTTCTGCATCTGCATAGGATTAAGTCCAATAAAACAATTGCTGTAAGCATTTTTAAAAATAAACTGAGATTTTAAAAATTTTTTTTCAATGAAAGAGCCTGCTGCTATAGCTCTTGTTTCCGAATAATGTAAGAAAGAAAAGTAGTATTTCAGTTTCTAAATATTATACTAATAAACAGCTATGTAGGTTACATGAAAAATTATAATGAGCAACAGAAGAACAAAAATGCCTGGCCAGCTGTCTCTCAAACCCAGTAATGTTTGAGTAGGCTGTGGTGGTAAAAATCAAGCTGCAGGGCAGACAGTCTCTCCCAATGGCACAAGTTTAATCTCTTTTTCATGAGATTCGTGAAGCAATCCTTATATAACAAATAAGGAAAAAAATGTAGCATAGAATTTTAAACTTCAAATATTCTCTGTTTTTAAATTTAACATTATCACTTCAGATATGTTATGCCTATATGTGCTGTACGCAAATCCACATTAGAATTGTGTAGTTAAGTAAACAGGAATATAGGAACTGACAACAATAATATAATCTAGATTTTCTTAATGGATTCCCTTATGCGTATGTATTAGTTTCTTTTCTAGATTACTTATTTTCTAGAACTCTTACTTCAATCAGTTCTCCAAAATGTTAAGTGAAGATGAGAGCTAAAAGAAAAAAGATGAAATCTGGTAAACTGAATTTCTGTCCTCAATTTATACAACTTATGCTAGCTTCAAAGAAGTCTGAGGTTCCTTGAGAAGGAATTTTGACTTGTACAATTGAAGGAAAGATCTAAGTACCTCAGTATCTTCTGTGAGTGATCCAACCCAAATAAAAGACACCTAACCCCATTAACTCTATTTGTTAGAATAGAATAGTTGAATAACTCTGTATTAGGCTACTTTGTAGGGTGAGTTGATTCTCCAGTGGGAGGCATCTTCTTCTGGGGCTACAGAAGACCAACCTTTTGCAGTCTGTGAAACAGGAATACTAGGTATATAGGTACCTGCATCCTCACTTCTCAGAATGCAACACCAGCAGTCAGCTTTTATATATTGTTTTATGTGTAGGAAGCTCACTCCAGAAACAGGACATCTGCTGTTTAAATACTGTTTAGACTGAAGAGATTGAACCTGTCTCTCAGAAAAGTGCCTCTATCATCAAGCTATTCCACATCCATTTCTTCTTTGGAGTGTGAAGTCTCATCTGAAGCTGAGATACTGTTTGGCTGGGAATATAAGTGTGGTGTTAAACAAACCTTAATTTTAGCATAGCAGGTTCCAGACCTGCCACTCAGAATTAGTATTTTCCTTGTATTAGGCCTCTATTGGTTGAAAACCAGAAAAAATCCTATGAAACTAGGACCAGACCCTCATCTCTGTTTCCCCCAGTCATCTGACTGCAGAAGAGTTCTTGTTTCCTGCACTGTGTGGCAGTTCCAGTTGCCTGGAAACCTGTCTCAAGCAGTGCAGCAGATGCATCACTCTGTGAATAACAGACTATCTCACAGTTTCAGGATGCATTGAATTTAGATGCCTGGTTGCCTGAATGCAGGCAACAGAAGCTTAGTAAAGAATGAGGTACTCATCTGGCTTCCTTGGGAAGGAAAGTATGAGTGTGTGTGTGACAAATCAGTTTCCAGGACTTCAGTGCTAAGTGGGAAGATCTTCAGAAAACATTCAGGTTAGATCACTTTCTAAGTGAATTTTAGGTACCTACATCCTAAATAATCTAGGCAGACAAAGTCCTCTTCAAGAAATTTTTTCTACAGGTATTAGTCTCCACATTAGCATCAGCCAAACTAATTTTTTCTGCGGTGCATTTTGTGTGGTAAGTTAGCTTTCCCTTTCCTTCATTTAGATCAGGATTGCTTTGCTGCAGTTTCTTAGATGTTTTAAGCTTTTAAAAGTACATGTGTAAAAAACTGCTGAATTGAGTTTTTGTGGATTCTGTGCTGTTAGTCAGCTGCTGAAGATTTTCAGTGCTGACCATCACACCTGTACATTTTTGTGGGACTTTCGCCCTATGGATTGAATAATTCAATGTTCTTCACTTTTTTGTGTTAGAAATATTTTCTGCATGCAACTCAACAAAGCTATAAAAGAAGAAAAAATAATTCCCTCATTAACTTTCCTGTTACACGTATGCTATCCCACGTTTATTTCACAACATGAAACATATATAGTATTCTATGAGGTGCGGTAGGATTATTCTACATTTACAGATTCTGAGACTACCAGGTTCTATCCAAGCATAATACACATCTCAGACATTAATTCCTTTGCTTTACTTAGCACACAAATCAGGCTCCAGGATTTCATGCCAGGGTCCCAGACAGCAAAGGGCATGCAATTTGTAAATGCCTTTCAAAATGTTTTAAGGGATGAACCCCTTGATACACAAGAGCTCTGGAAAAGAGGAAGGATTGGAATCCAGTCCTCTTGGACTTACATGACTGTGATAAATGGCTGTCCTTTCTCTCCTTGTGAATTGAAAAGATGTTCCTATAGGAAAACATCGTCCTGTCCAAATATTGTCATACTGCTTATGCACAGAAGAGTCAGAATTAGATCAGTCCTAGTCCCAAACTCACCTTCCATGTTCAGTATGCTAATCTAACTCCTTGCTTTTCATTTTCCTTTCTAGTTTTCTGCCTTGAATTCTTGTCAGAATTTCTTTCAGTCTCTCTGTGCAACATATTTTGTGCCAGTTACAGCATGACTGGTTCTTTTGTCACTTCATACCATTTCTCTCATTCAGTCTATTTTATCCCCTCTGTTGTTCTCTGGTCCCTGATAATAGTGGCTCCATTCTTCCTGTGTTTCACCAAGAAGCATCCTGTATATTTTGCTTTCTCGGTAATTATAAAGCTGTTTTTGATTTTCCCTTTTTTCCTTCTTCTAATCCTGTGAGAATGCAATTCCATCCCCCCTCTATGGGGTTCTTTGACCATTCTCTCACTCAGTTTCTTCCTTTCCTCTCCTTGCATCCCAGTCAAAGAACTACTTGGGTTACAAGTGCTTGTGCTATGTATTGGAGTGCTAGCAGCATGAACACAGGAGAGAGAGAGCCTTCTGGTCATAATTCTGACTCCTGACTTATCCTGTAACAACAAGATTAAAAGAAATTGCAGGGAAAATATGCCCATTATGTACAATTGTTTCAATTTTTTCCCCTGAACATCAAGAGAAAGTTGAAGGTATAAGTCAATGCAAATTTTGAGCTTTTGTTCCAAAATACAGTTGTTAGAGCATCTCAAAGAAATGGTGTCAGATGATTTCAGTTTCTGCTTAGAGTAATTCTCTAAATATTTTGACTGAAGATTTCATGCAAAAATTCAGTCTGAAACAAATATAGTGAAAAAATATTTAGCTTGAATCTGAACACATAATTTTAGTTATATTTGTGGCACCCAAGTCTAGATTATTTCACATCCCTCAGTCACAGTTTGTGATAGTGTCTGAATCACAAATATATTGCATTCTGCTTAAGCAAGCATAATTTTTTCTCAAGAAGCAAATGAAGAAGCTTGTCTTCAGTGCTACTTCCCTTGGGATGTGGGACTAGCTAAGTCTGTTTTTTGCCTAAGGACTCCCAAGGAAGCCTGTGGGTGGATACATTTAGTGTCAGAGAACATCTAAGTTGACTTGCACTTCAGAGGTCATTAAATCTTTGCTTTGTATTGATACTGTTGGTACAAAAATCTCTGCTTTTTATCTGTAGCTGGATGGAGATACCTAGAAGCCCAGATAATTATCAGTTTAGAAAAAATACTGTCAAAGCCCCTGCTTCTGCAGGAAGGTAGGAACAGCATCTAAAACTCTCTTAAATCTCACCTATTGATAATTTCTCACAGTTTTCTGCTCTAGTAAACACAGAGCCCTTTAACTGTTGGTACCCAAAACCTATAAAGTCTGTAGTAGGGCAAATTACATGATAATAGAATACAGATATCTCCACTTTTAATATCCATTCAAATACTTTTGGTTGATGACTACAGGAATTGCAAGATCTGAAGTAGTGGAGATGGAAGAAGTACACTGCCACTAATGATTCAGTTGACGTGTGTTAGTGTAATCTCACTTAGAGAAGTATTAGGAATGGCAGAGAGATAAATCAGCCCCTTGTTTGCGGGTTAAAAGTCTTGGGAATTACATCAAGACCTTTCTTTAAGAGACTGAAATGCTGAAGATTAGGAGCTATGACAGCAGATGGAAACCCTGTCGCTGAAATTATGTGGGATGGTCTACACAGAAAGTACACCTTCCTCTGGTCATGTCTACCTTAGGCAGGGTATCTTCATGCCTAAATGTATTGCTTGGTTAGGTGTGCAGTTGGGCATTATCCTCGTTGTTTCCCTTAAGTTCAGGCAGGGTCAGTGTTTACTTTAAATGTCCTAGTTTGTCCCCTGTCTCAGGCAAAGTCCCCATGAAGAGATCCTCCTCTGGAAGCTGTAGTTAATGATACTGAAGTGGTACCATCATGTAATGGCTTCCTGGCTATTTGAAAGGCCTTTTTTCCTTTTTTTTGTTCTAACTGCACCATTTTCCCCTTCTGCAGTGACTGCTCTGAAGTAGGTATATCCTTTCCTTGAATAATGTGTTTGCAGCCATAGAATTCAAATTGAATTAGCTAAATAGCAGCTTCTAACGGCTGGAGGGAAAAAGAATAGCAGATCAAGCCTAAGACTGATTAATAATAATTTGTATAGGTGACTAATAGTAGATTTTACCTTGCTGCTGAGTTGGACTGTGGACTACTGAGCCTCCCTCTCTTAAAATTTCTGTAGTGCTTATATGATTTCAGCATGAGTCTCTGCATCTTGAGAAACATTTAGTGATATGAAATATTTATGGTCTTATCCTGTAGTCTTTCCAGCACAACAGGACCTGAAAAATTAATTAATTTATTGTGCATAAATTCTTCAGAAATGTATATATATATGAATACCATATGTTAGTAATGCAAGTAATATAATACAAGAGAGAATAATCGTAACCCGAGCACCATGTGAAAAACATTTAGTGTGAAATAATCTATTTATTGTGCAGGGGTTTAAAAAAAGGGTAAATCCTGGTACATACTGAAGCTAGTAGTAATATTAATTTTATGCTTTCTTATAAATACAAAGTAGGACATAATATTTTTGTTTAAGTAACCAATATAAATAGAAGCTTATGAGCAAAATTATTTTAAAGTATGAATATTCTGCTTCATTGTAGAAATGACTTCACTAATTAATATTTTCTTATTACAGATAAAACTGTGGTATGACAAGGTTGGTCATCAGTTAATAGTGACAATACTGGGAGCAAAGGATCTTCCTTCAAGGGAAGATGGGAGGCCAAGGAATCCTTACGTTAAAATTTACTTTCTTCCAGACAGAAGGTAGGGTGAACGCAAAGACAAGGAATAATTGAGTAAGAAGTAGTCTGATACTCGGGTGGCATGCACAGCTGAGTTTATCGGTCATACTTGTGTGGAAAAAAAATCTTACAGTTTGGAGTTTCTGTATTGAACAGGCTATGCAACAGCAAAGTGTCTTCAAACAGTAAGCAGAAACTTGTTTTTCCTGGCTATTTTACAAAATACTGAATAGAAAAGGAAAGCTAAACATATGTCTTTGCATGGGGATCTGTTACTTGCAAAGAGTGTTGCTAGTGTTTTAAAATGTACCTATTTCCTATGACTGTTATTCCTGTCTAGTGCAAAGAAAATGCTAGTTAAGGTTCATAGATTTCTGGACTGATGGGTCCTGCAGTTTGATTTGCCTCACCTTTACACAACAAAGCAAGAACAAGTTTTGTGTCCAAAACCCACAGATTTTTTATCACAGTATGAATTGAGGCTGAAGGGGACTCAGTTGAGATTTCCCATATGCACCTTGAAACCTTCCCCTAAAGCACAGGAGTCATATTAATCTGGATTGGCATTATATATGCACCTAGGGAAAATTAAACCCTTAAAAAGTAGGGCCCTTATTCCTGCACAGCTCCTTCACTCTCTAGTCCGTGATTTTCTGCCATTTCAACTTATCCCTTAGCAAAAGAGATAATGCATTCTCTAGTAGATTTTTTTAAGTTGCTATTTCCTCAGATTGTGTCAGTAGGGGAACACCTTTAGCTTACAGCATACCAACTAAATAAGTCAAAGCTTTAACATGACTCAATAGATCAGCGGATTGCTGAATCTGTAGAATAGGGTGTAACTACATTTTTATTTCCTTTGCTTTTTCAAATAGCTGAATTGGGAAGATGCTAACCTATATCCAGTACCATTTGACTTCATCAGGAATTAAAGCTATTCAGTATTTTGGAAGACTCTGTATTTCCACTTTCATTGTATATCATATGTTGACATATTTTCTGTGACTAATTTGCTGTGTCATTGGTGACAAAAAGGTTTTGGATGGTTTTTCTTGGGGTCACCAATATTTGAACTGTTGGTCTAGAATTCCAAGTTTATTCAAATTGCTGTAGTGTGTTTGGAGTTGCTGAAGCTGTGCTAAACTGAGAATTAGGTTTGCTTATATTATCATACATGCTTTTTCAAGATCAGGAAAGCTACCAAAATTGTCAGTGTTCTGAATGTTTCATAATGTAAGTTGTAATAGCTGAAAAATATGTAGACATTTAATTTTATTATGCTATAATGGTGTTTCCTATTTATGGGAAGTATTCAAAACTTTAATCCATTATATGTGTTTTCTAGAATGATCAGCAATTAGTCTTATAGAATTGTGGAGTTTTTTCTGACATGCAAATTCATTTTCCTGTCTTAAGATATAAGAGCTAAGTAAGCGACAATATATTTCCGGTGTGGAAATATATTTCCACGTGCTAGAGGTAAAATACACTTAAGGAAGTCAAGCGTTTAATTAGATGAAGATGCTGAACTCTCTTTGATTAAAGAAATTTAATTGGAAAAGCTTGTCCAGTGTAACTTATTTCAGTTCTCAAGGCTAAAAAAATCTTTAGTATAATAGAAATTATTTCATTAAATTTTAACAGTGTGTCTAAAAATATTATTGCTTAGTTAATATTTTGATCCAGCCTCTAAGTAACTGTTCAGAAATACAATTTATTTACAAATATTACAGTTTCAAGTATTAACAAATGGATTGTATCTGCCTTGCCTATTGAAAAGTCCCCATAAATTAGTATGGGAGCTGCATTATGCAGCAATCAGCAGATTGAAAGTTAAGCATTGTTAGGAGAACTCTTCTCAGTATTCTCAGTAGGAGGAGTGTGGGTGTTTTCCAGTGAAAATTGTTTCCATGGGAAAATATTATTTTTCCAAGTAGAAATATTCTGCAAAACACATTTCTTTCAACAACACCCTGGAGCCAAAGCCAGCACTGCCACGGTAGCCTTGCATGGAGACCTCACCGTGCGATGGAGGTCGCCTTCAGCCTGGGTGGTTCCTTGGAGTGACCAAAGGATTTGTGGAGCTGTTTTCAGAGCTCTGTTCCTTCTGGTGTTGCTGGAAAAGAACATGTAGCTCATTCTCAGGGCTTCTGGTTTCCTAGCTGTGGTGCCCTTAGTTAGGAAACCCTGCAGAGAAGGCCCTGCACTGCTCCCAGCTACCTGCCCATTCTGTCGTGCAGGCCAGCTGCTCCTTCCTGCTCTGCAGTTGAAGTCAGCTGCTGTAGGACTGGAAGCTGAATAAACCAGCTGGCTCGTTTTTCTGAAATGCACTTTTTTTTATACGTCCAATATTGTCTGCATGCATGTTCTACTGTCAGACTGTGCCTTGTGGAAATCCCATTTACAGAAGTACATTTTGCTTTACACAATGCTGTTTTGAAAAAAAACAACAACGAAGATATTAAAATATTTCTGGTTTTCAGGGAATTACTTGAAATTGCAAATGGAACATGAACTCAAAATCACCTGACTTCAGTTTTTAATAAGAACTTATGAATTATCCTCAATATACGTGCTGAACTTTGTTATAATAAAGGAAAATTCCTGACATTGATTATAGTACCCATGATCCTACAAAATTAACTGCTGATTTGAGACTTCCTATTTTCCATGATGTACTTATTGCAGTATTATGGTGTTTTGAACACTTTTAATATTTAACTGTTTTTTTCAGTGATAAAAATAAAAGAAGAACAAAAACAGTAAAGAAAACATTGGAACCTAAGTGGAATCAGACATTTATTTATTCTCCAGTTCATCGGAGAGAGTTTAGAGAACGAATGTTAGAAATCACTCTTTGGGACCAAGCACGAGTTCGAGAGGAAGAAAGTGAATTTTTAGGAGAGGTATACAAGCATTGGTAGTTACTATATGAATACAGTTGCTCACATACTCATGTATAGATATGGTATTTTGGGGAAAAAATTTAAATATTCAAAGGAAAACTGTTTTTAATTGTTATATTTTTCCTTCTTTTACTTATTAGTAAATAGTAATCTCACACTGATCATGTAATACTGATGTGAGATTTTTTCTGTTTGTTCCATTTCATTAACAACATGAACATGGTTTCTCAATTTCTAATTGTTCATTAAAATCCATATTATCCATAGGTGCATTTTAGAAATATTTTGGACTATCGCTCACTAGCTTGCTACAAGATATTTGAATGCTATAAATGCTATCATAAGGTAATAAAGGCTTTGTGAAAGATTTTCAGTATATTTAGTGTTGTAAAAAGCACAGGAACTTCTTTCATGTTAAATGCAAGATTTTTATAAAACTTCAGACAAAGTCCTTGATAAGAGAATAACAGAAAAAAAAATTACGAGCATACCTATTTTTAAATATTCTGTCACATAATGCTTTCCTTCTTTTAACCATTCTTTCTTTTTTAGATTCTTATTGAGTTAGAGACAGCATTACTAGATGATGAGCCTCACTGGTACAAACTTCAAACACATGATGTCTCTTCATTGCCACTTCCCCACCCCTCACCATATCTGCCACGAAGACAACTCCATGGCGAGAGTCCCACACGGAGGTTACAAAGTAGGTTGTAGTAGTTTTGCACACTGTGTGTAGTTCATTTGAACGAATGTATAATAATGTATATTAAATTCTTGCAGATAGAGAGCTGCCAGAATTTTAATGTTAGTTTGTAGCTGTTATGAATTAGGTAATATGTGATTACTGATAAGAGTCTGACATGCTACAAATGGCAATATCAACCACTGTGCAATGCACCAACTTTCTCTTCTGAGAAAACTCGGTTCCAATCCTCAGCTTGAGTAAATTATCTTGGTCTTTTACAATGTGCTGTTTTCATCATGAAGTCGTATCTTCTATATTATATTCATAATTTCATTGTTTATTCAAAAGTGAATGTGCAGGACCTCTCTCTTTAGTTCGTACTTCTTAAAGTGATCCAGATATAACATCATATGTAGCTAAATTAATAACATGGTGTGTAGCCTTGTTTTGATACTATTTTATCTGCTTACAAATGAAATTTCTCTTAAAATTCTATTTCATAGAGTTTGGTATACTGATCCTCAGTAGCTTGATGTTATCAGTAGATATTCTGAAAAGAGATTATATACAATATGCTAATAAAATAGGTACATAAGAATAACATAGTAAAGAGTGAAAATCTGTTTCTTTAATACTTCATTGTTTCTATAGTTTAACTGCTCAGAACTGTCAGTGATTTAAAGCTGAATTAACTTCACAAAATATCAGTTGACAGTTCTATAAAAAGCCTCAACAAACCAAATCAACCAACCAACCAACCAAAAAAACCCCCACCAAGCCCTCAGCACCAACCAAAGAAACCCTGGGAAACAAAAACAATGCCACAAAAAAACCCTCAACAAATCAAAAATGATTTCTAAGAATTATTTGGGGTTTCTTTGACTCACTGTATGTGTGTGCATATGTTTCACACAAACTGACAGAAACATATGCATGTGTAGTCACACAATCAGGCTTGGATATTTCATTTGTTCTATGTGGAGTCTTTATTCAATAGCCTGTTTAATATAAGGATTTCAAGTCGTTGATCTTTTTTGTTTCTGTGCACAAGAAGGATTAAAATGCTCCATATCATAATATACTGAGATAGACACATTATCAGAGGTAATAGCCTTGAAGTTGTATTATACTTGTCCACAAAACGAGGAAAGAAATGATAGTTAAAAGGTAAGGAGTTCTACTGCAATTCAGTCTTCTTCAGTCTTCTTATATGCCATGACTGTTGTTCAAGTAAAGTTTTAAAATTATTTGTCTTCTATTGTTGCTGCCATCTTTTAACACATTTTATGAAGTTAAGTTTTCCATGTAAAATTACTTTTACAGACCATGTGTTTCTATGTGAAGTTAGTGAAATTATGGTTTTCAGGAAATATTCAGCCCTGCCACAAACCCCAATTTTTTTATAGTTAATCCTGTCTGTGCAATAAACAACTGACATGAAGAATGAATAAAACAGTAACTGCTTTTTGTTAGAATATATTTTAGTAATGCTTTACTAAAGATCTGTTCAATTATATTAACTCAAAATTTGAAAGCCAGTCAGGTGGTTTTTTAAGATCAATGCTAATATATACTAATGCTAATAAATACTGATACCGAAAATGTGCTCAACTGAGCGGTCTGATATGCCTGTCTGGAAATCTAGAGGAAACGACTTAAAAAACATCTGGTTTGGTGAAACACGAAGATTTGGTATAGAAATTCTGTTTTTCAGTGAAGATGATTTAACCTTACTGTTCCCAGAGCACTACTTTGACAGCCTGAGGTTCTAAAAACTTCAACCGAATAAACAGGTTTGGACATTCACTGTGATTGCCGGAGAATTCACATACTCCTACATAAATTATGCTATTTGCTTTTGGACTGAGATTGGGATCCCATAAAGAAGGATTTTCTCTAGTGGCCTGGGAATATTTGCACATCTTGAATCTTTGTGTGTCATAAATAGTTTTCAGTTTAAAGTTTTAAATGTACAGAACAAGGTCTGTTGGAATTAAAATCCCTCCTTCTTGCAGAATGAATAAGCATACAATTGGAAATTTAGCGTCTGATCAGAGTTCTGCAATAGTAGCAGAATCCATTTAGCAATTAAAAAAATGCAATTTTTTTTCTTATTGCTGTTGCACCTCTGAAATTGGTGTCCTGAGAGGGGGAGGGATATCCAACTGGAGAGATCCAGTACCCAATTAGACAGGACTGTAAGCAGTGCTGTATCAGTTGGCCAAGCCTGAAACAGGCATTGCACCAGATGGTCTCAAAAAGCTCTTCCCAACCTAAATGTCATCACCAGGGGACTGGTGAAGGGCAGACAGCATGTCTTATGACTGTTTGCCTTCACCAAGTAAAATATTGATACTTCATCAATACCATATAGAAGTTTTTATCTACTTCTGGAGGTTTCAGATGAATATTAAGTTAAACTTAATATCTTAGTTCCCTCTGTCTGAACATGTTTTTGTATAACGCTCTGGTTTATGACGAAAGAGATGATGTTATCCAGTGGCACATTATGACAACATGAAAAAAGTCTCCAGAATGAAGACAATGCACGTCTAGCAAGTTTGTCTGTTTTCCAAAGCACATCTTAAAACATTTACTGGGCTGTTATACAGTGGGCTGATTTCAATTTCTGGGACTGCAAAATCTGAGCAGTTCAGTCCTCCTACCTTTTGTTCACTTCTGTGATGTCTTTATGTATAGAATTAGTAAGTACAATATGAAATACTTTACTGCATGCCCCCAAAAATTGTTAGTGTGAGAAATGACAAAACAAATATTTTGAATTACAAGGTTGGTTGTTGTTTGTATAAATACACATCTACACATCTAAGCTTTCTTATCTTCATGATTGCCAAGTAGCAATAAACACATATATTTGAAGACAATACTTAAATGTTATTCTCTAAAGGTAGTTTAAAAGAACCACCTACACTTACCACTTACTTCTATTCTCCTTTTAATATCACTGAATTGCAGTGTTCCTGAAGAAGAGCATACTGTCAGTCTTGAAGAGTGAAGTCCTATTTACAGATTGCCAGTAGCAAAGTGCAAGCTTCCCACAGAGCCCCATATGCCATTTTTCTTGGAACCAGCTTTCAGAGGCAGTAGCTTAGTTTCTACATATATTTATCTCTCAATATCTCTGAGTGGGCAGTGTGTTGTGGTACAGACTGATCTAAGTCAGCTGTCCACCTTCTCTTACCCAGTCTTCTTATCCATACATTCCATTAACATCCTAGTGATGAAGGATCATTACCATACTTTTTCCTTTGTGTTTTTTTTTTTTTGACAGATATCTACTTAGAAACTGTAACTAATATAGAACATAAGATTATGACTTACTAGGTCTTCAGCTAATTATATTTTAGATTTTCATAAACTGACAAGTTTTTATCCAAATAGTATATTTTAAGGTTTTTCTTATGTGAAATGTGAGGTAATGAGTAGGTCTATTTTACTTATTGTGTTAAACTTTTGAAGTGAATTTTAAAAATTAGTTCATCTTCTCTAACATTTACCATAAAATCAGCCATACATTAAGAATTCCAGACAGCATTAACTAGAATTACAGATAAACTGGAGTTCTTTTTATACTGCCTCTGAAAAGAGATTGTAAACAGAAAATTAAAGGTAATTTTAAAAAATATTCTGGAATTCCCATTGTTGGTACATTATTTTTCCATCTCTCCTTAGATAATGATCATATTACAGATTACATAGACAATTGAATATGGTTTGAATGTTGTATTCGTAGTTGTTAGGATCACTGGGATGGAAGTTATGGTTAGTAGTTCTATTTATTGAGAACTGATACAAAAATCGGACAGGGTTTAAATCATGGGGTTGCAAATCAAAACATGCTTCCTCTCCAGGTAGAATATAAAGAGAGACATCAAATTGGATCTGAGACATTCTTATTCAATCTTTTACATTTATGTCCATGTAATTTGAGCATTTGTGCAGTGTGAGCTGGTATTGTTGAGTTGATAAAGAATACAGGGTCATTGCATATTTTTAAAAACAATTGTTTTTCATAGTATCATAGAATGTTAAGGGGTTGGAATGGACCTTAGAGATCACCTAGTCCCAACCCCCCTGCCATGGGCAGGGACACCTCCTCACTAGAGCAGGTTGCTCAAAGCCCCATCCAAGCTGGCCCTTAAACACTGCTAGGGTTGGGGCATCCATAACGTCCCTGGGCAACCTGTTCCAGGGCTAGTTTTGTATCGATTCTGAATTTAGTTAGAAGCAGTTTTTCTTTTACTCCAAGTGTTTTAAGAATTTCCCAATTACTTAGGATTAAAGAGTAATTGCCACTACTTTTCCAAGTCAGATTTTGCATCTTTAAAACCAAGCTGTCAGAGCTATTGATCTGCAGACCACAGAGAGTGGGTGTACAGTGTAGGTAACAGCTAAATGCCCAAACAAGAGAAGAAATGTGAATACAGCAGTAAACCCAGACATTTTCAGATCTCTTGTTGCAAACATAGATATGTACAGCAGTTAAAGGAGAGCTTTTAATTGCCAAGAGAATGCGCAATATGGTTTGAAAAAGAACAGTGAAGTTTTATATGTTGAGCGTCCTCAGTAGGGGAGAAATAATAAATCTATGGGAGATAAACTCTGCAGAAAACAAGGTCTAAGACATTTTAGAAATTGTAGTATTTGGAAATCAACATATAGAAGTCCAAAATAGTGGATAAAATTGTATTTTTTCAAGAACTGAACATCAGAAAAATCAATCAGGATCAAAGTAAATGTAAATAAACAGACTGTGAAGCAGCTTTCTTTTAAAGGGAATTTGAGTTTCATTACTTTCAGAATTAAATTAATCAATTACTCTATTCCCTGAGTTTCATGACTCTTTGGTCACATAAAAAAATCTAGAGGGAGAGAAATTGCAGTAATGAGTATTTAAACACTGGGAACAAAAATTTAGTATACATACATATATATATACACATATTATAAAAATCTGCATATAGTGTACAATTTTTTATATATATATATATATGTAA